CGCCGGAGCCAAAGCGCAGAGGCGCCAGCGGTGTGATTGGTCCGCGCTGTCGGGTTTAAATGCATAAACTATAAACCTATCTATTATAAACCTATCATTTATGAATAAATCTGCTCTGCTAGTGAAATGCTAAGAGCAAAAGAGACGCTTGTAGCCCGGCTTAAAAAAAAAGAAAAGATTTTTGTTTTGTTTTCTTTTCTTTTAATTTTCCTAGAAACGTAAACAATTAACGCTTAGCCTGGCGGCGGGGCTAGTAAAGCATGGCGGGCAGCCAGGCTTATAATACACTGGGGGAAACCCTGGTATCCCTACCAGTTACGTTTCTAGTTTAGAAAATTAACCTGTAACAATAGTAGCTCACTTTCTAAGTTAACCTGAAGAAAGTTTATACAAAAATCTGAAATTATATCAAATTTAATAATTAAGAGGCAGGCTCACAAATGTCTATACTCCAGCTTTTATTTCACATATTCATCTTCAGTCAATATAATAGATGAACTCTCACTTCGCCCAGCAATTTATAGCTTTTATGTCCATGTAAACGAGCGGATTCGACGCCTTAATTCGCCACACAGAAACACATCTACCAGCTATGAACCACGATGCACTCTGCCACTCATTGGCTGAGACCAGGATAATATGAAACTTATTTTCCAGTTTGTCCATAAAGCTACACTTACGTTAAGCATCAACTACAGTGCAGCCGACCTCAGTGTTCAATCTATCAACTCACCTGTATAAATACACCTGCAGGACTCCTCCATGCCGTTTGCTCTGAACCGGCCACCACGCAGCAGCTCCGTGAGGAGAAAAGCTGCCGTACACCAGGTATCGCGCCAGTCGTTTTAAGGATGCCTATTGGTCCACCGAAAACAATAAAACCCAGACATTATCATAAATCAATAAAATCCTCCCAGACTGACCTTAAAAGTTGGACATTATGCTGCTAACACTTAGTACTTACCAGCAACTCATCGGAGGAAGTGAGAGCGCTGCCCAAAGCAAATAATGACCCGGCTGGAACACTAAATAGTAAAACATAATTTAATGAAACTTCGAGGCAGATATATTTTCAGAGGAATTTTAATAATTGAGATAATCGAATCATTCAAGGAATGGTTGCAGCCCTACTTTATACTTTTATTTTAGTTAAATCATTTTCTAAAAATAGTACTGAGACTTGAAATGGCGTAATTAAATAACTCTAATGATGCAGATGTACTTCTACTTGACAGTTTTTCAGTAATCATTTTACCTCTGCTGACAGCTTCTTGAGGAGTCCAGGAAGTTGCTGAATATCTGTAAGTAAATAACGAAAAAGCAGTACTAATGTCAAAATTCTGAGAGAGAAAAAAGTGGCCCTAATTGTCTTCAGTAAGAATCAGAACAGATGCATCTTTAAGTGGGTCAAACAGGAATGTTGGTGAATGATTCCTGGCTGAAACAAAGTGCTACGACTTAACGACTATTTTAACAACTTAACGACTATTTTACATTAACGACCTTAACGACTATTTTACATTAAAGTTACATTTATCCTTACGATTTAAACAATCCGCCACAAACAAAAGAAAAGAGCAACTGTAGTCACTGATTCAAATTTTCTGCTTCAAATACGTACATGGTACATTATATAATACACTCTGGAAACTCTTGTGAGTCATCAAATAAGTCAACATTTATATTAGCGACACAAAACAAATAGTAAATAATAGTTTTACTTAAATTTGATGTGGAGGCTCCATAGTCAGTGGAAGTGGCAGTTAAAGTCCTGTGTCTGAACCGCTTTGAGCACATTGTAAACCAAAAACCTACGTTCTGGCGCATGCGCAGTATCACGACGTACGACCCAAAATAGTTGGGTAGATTTTATTTTATTGCAATTTTTTCTATTCACAAATAGGTACTGTTATCAGGATTTACCACCTATAATAAAGTTGATTTGTTACCTTATATAATTTTAAGTGATTAAAATGGATTGTATTTACAAACCTCAAAATCCTTTTTCTTTCATTGTTGTCATCAGTCGATTTATGAAGGTTTTTTGAAGAACTGGGGTTACACCCATGCATTCTGTTACAGAACAGAGCAGTTTCTGAGAATACAATAAAAAACAGCTGTTATTTACTACTGTAGTAAATGAAATACAGAAAATAAACATGTAAGTAAATAAACCTATTTCTCAGTATTAACTCCCTTTGTCATAAATGCTGTTTTAGCCTGAACAATGTCTGGCTAACGGCTCAAGATTGATGGCTCAAGGTTAACGGCTCAAGGCTAACGGCGAAGTTAGCTTCTATGCTAAATCACGCCCATACTAACAACAAAGAGACATTTTAAAGACTACAAACATACACCGGCAGCCAAACAGCACCGTCAGAAGTGGTAATTCACATTAACACATTCATATCACATGATTACTAACATTACTCACATCGTCAGTGACTGCTTCTCCGCCATTATGCAAATCGGGTCTAGAACGTGAAGAAGGAAGAGGAAACTGCATAAAATACCTTCAAAATAAAAGCATGAATATGAAAACATTCACAGTTTGAAATTATTAATAATGTTACTCCTTACTCGCTGTTTGCGAAACAGCCAATACAGGTGCACCATTTATTGGCACTGACTGACGGTACGCCCAGGAATGAAAATTATGAAAACTATTAGCTTTCTCAATAATAATAAACTTGTTTACACAGTGTTTATTCATGAAAATTAAGGTATACTTTGTGTTTAAAATAGTTTAAACAGTTATAAGTGTTTTTAAGAGGGGTTTCATGTTTTTGCAAATTCCAACTATTTGTTGGTGGCTGTGGTCTCTAAGCCCGACAAGTACTTAGGTTGCACTTTAGTTTCTGTCACCTTGCAGCAAGAAGGTTTTAGGTTTGAATCCCAGTCTGGGGTCTTTCTCCATGGAGTGTGCATGTTCTCCCCATTCATGCATGGGTACGGTCTGGATACTCGGGTTTCCTCCCACAGCCCAAAAAATACAACTCTTAAGTAAATTGTTCTCTCGAAATGCAAAGTTGTTTGTCTTGTGATGAACTGGCAACCTGTCCTGGTTGTACACCGTTTCTCGCTGAATGACTGCTGGAGATAGGCAGTAATAAATTGAAGTAATGACAAGTTACAAACCAGATTGGAATTAATTAATTAGTGAAGAAAAAACTAAGTGCTGCCTCTCAATGTTTAGTTTCTGTTTGGATTTAAAGTAGACTTGAACCAGAAGATCTGAATGGTCTGGATGGTTGGTACAGATTAAGGTTTAGTTGCCCATACAGTGCAACATAGCAAAATAGGTTTCCTTTTCAAAAATACTTAAAATTGACACTAAACAGAAGAGATGTCCTTTAGTTTAATCTCTCTAACACCTACAGTGCAGCCTTGACTCGTTTCTTTGGGGGGAGTTACAGCCATTCACACACTTCACATGTACACATGTAGGCCTCTTTAGGCAACATCCTTCGGTCCAAGAGACAATGACCCAAACATTTAAGGTCAGAGAGTAGCTAAACTTTAGTGGCTCTATTAGGAATTGTTCTTACCACACTTTATGACTCTGATATTTCGAACCAAACTACAGATGTTGATCTGATGCTGATGGGCATATATATATATATATATGAAGCCCCGAGATCAAAGTGGGGAACACCCCCAAAGGTGGTGGAGAATGA